GGGTTAAATCCCCAGTACCATAATAATAACAACACTAATAGTAAAAATAATTTTTGAAAAGGGTTGGGGATGTAGCTCAGAGTGGAGTACCTCTGGATTCAATCCCCAGGACTGCACAAAAAAAAAAAGACTAGCTACACCTACAACTCAACAACTATGAAATGAACCAATTCAAAATTGAACAAAAATACCTGAATTGACACTTCTCCAAAGAGGATATATATGTAATTGATATGCACATAAAAAGATGCCCACCACTAGCCTTTAGGGAAATGCGAATCAAAACTACCAGAGCCAAACACTGGTGAGGACAACTAGGAAGGCCGGAAGAACAAGGATCACAAGTTCAAGGCCATGTGGGCAACTTAGCAAGACTCTGTTTCAAAGTAAAAGATACTGGGGATGTAGCACACTAACACAAGTGTCTGGGTTCAATCTCCAGTACTCGGGCAGGATGGGGGTGGGAGATTCAAGTTTACAACCAATAGGATTATAAATAAACTAATTAACAAAGTAGCAGCTGTCAAGCTTTTGTTGGTGGGAATAAAAAATAGTCCAGTCACTTTGAAAAATGGTACAGTAGTTGAAGGATATGGAAATGACAACCCCCAAAACAGTGTGGCCTGGGAAGAGGGAGGGAGGAAGAAAGCAACACACTGATAACATCGGTCCTTTCCCAGTGACAAGACAATCCCTGGGAAAGAGATATCCATTAAGCCTAAAAAGGAGAGTTTCTGAAAAGGAGCTAAAACATTGATCCTTCCCCAAATAAATCCTTTCCCAGTGACAATACAATAGACCCTGGAGGGAAAGAGATAAACACTGAATGCTGAACTCTGGACCCTCTATTCTTGCCCATAAAAATAAATTTCAAATTCTCACAACCTGTTTCCTGAGTGCCCATATTGATATGTTCTGTTAAAAGTCTTCAATGGTTAAGTCATCTCCCAGTGTGTAACCTATATAACCTCAGACCTCTCCTGTAATCTAGGGCTATTTTTCTACCTAGAAAGTGAGCCTCTCCAGTGCCTGACTGACTGACTCCGCTGCAGAATAAAGGAAAGCTTGCTGATCTGTTTGAGGTTTGCTTCTGTCCCAGTTATTTGTGCCTTCATAATGGTGTCAAAACCGTTTTGGTTATTTTTGCTTAGAGTAGTCCCTCAAAATAAATTTAACAATATTTAATATAAAAATTATCACATGATCCAGTAATTCCAATTCTGTGTATATAAGAACTGACAGCGGAAACTTGAAAAGTTATCCATATATCCATTCTGACAGTAACATTATTCACAATTACCAATTTCCACCCAAATATCCACCAATAGATGAATGGATAAACAAAATGTGATACATACACACAATAATTATTCAGCCTTACGATAAAAGGAAACTCTGACACACACTTAAACACAGATGAACCTGTCTGCCTGTCTGGGAATATACCTCTGTAGCTCAGTGATATAGCATTTGGTAGTTGCTGAGGCTGGCATATGTGAGGCCCTGGGTTCAATTTTCAGTGGAGGCAGGCCGCCTGGGCTGGGCCTATACTTCAGTGGTAGACTGTATGGTTATCATGCCCAAAGGGGGGGGAAAAAAAAGTGAATAAACCTTAAAAACATGCTTAGAGCAGTGGTGCATACTTCTAATTCCCCAGGGACTTGGGGAGGCTGAGGAAGGAGGATCACAAGTTCAAGGACAGCCCTGGCAATTCAGTGAGACCTTGTCTCACTGAATAAGTATTTAAAAAGGGCTGGACCCAGGCATGGTTGCCTAAACCTGTAATCCCAGCAACTCAGGAGGCTGAGGAAAGAGGATCCCAAGTTTGAGGCCAGCCTCAGCAACTACTTTGCAAGATCTAAGCAACTTAGCAAGACCCTGTTTCAACAAAAGAGAGCTGGGGACTCCCAGTGATTACCCCACCCTAAACTCAATTCCCACTCAAAAAAAAAAGGAAAAGAGAGAAATAACACGAAGGGATAAATATCATATGATTTTAAATCATACAGAACCTAGACAAATTCACAAAGAAAGAAAATAGAACAGAGGTTACCAGGGGTAACTTTTGAGGGAATGAGAAAGTACTGTCTAGTGGGTACAGAGTTTCTACATAAAAAACTTATGGAGCTGGGTAAAATGGCACACGCCTATAATCTCAGTGACTTGGGAGACTCAGGCAGGCTCTAAGCAACTTAGTGAGACCCTGTCTCAAAAAAAAAAAAAAAAAAATTTTTAAGGGATAGGAATGTAGCTCAGTGGTAAAGTGCCTCTGGGTTCAAACCACAGTACTGAAAAAACAAGAAAAGGTTCTAGAAACAAAATGGTGATATGATACCACATTGTTTTGTACTTAATGGCACTGAATTATACATTGAAAAATGGTTAAGCCAAGTGCAATATAACACATCTATAATCCCAGATACTTGCAAGACTGAAGCAGGAGGTTCACAGGTTTCAGGCAAGCCAAAACAACTTAGTAAGACACTGTCTCAAAATAAACATGGCTGCAGTTGTAATTCAGTGATAGTGTGCCTGCCTTGCATGTGTGAGGCCCTGAGTTCAATCCCAGGTACTGGGGAGGGGAAGAATTAAAATGGTAAATTCTATGGTATGGTGTGTTTTATCACAATAAATGATTCACAATAATGATAAATGGTAAAGTTTTAGGTTTTATTTTACCACAATTCTTTCAAAAATTATTTTGGATGGGGTATAGTTCAGTGGTAGAGGGCTTGCCTAAGTATGCAAAGCCCTGGGGTTCCATCCCCAGCAACACATTAAAAAAAAATTAAAACAGGGCGCAGTGGCACAGGCCTGTAATCCCAGAGGCTGGGGAGGATGAGTTCAAAGTCAGCCACATCAATGGCAAGGCACTTAGCAGCTCAATGAGACCCTGTCTCTAAATAAAATACGAAATAGGGTTGGAAATGTGGCTCAGTGGTTGAGTGCCGCTGAGTTCAATCCTGGTACAAAATAAAGAAAAAAAATTTAGTTTTTTTAGTACTGGGGATTGAAACCAGAAGCCCTCTACCACTGAGCCACATCCCCAGTCCTAAAAGTTAGCCTGGCATAGTTAACACAGGCCAGGAATCCCAACAATTTAGGAGGCTGAGGCAGGAAGATCCCAAGGTGAAGGCCAGCCTGACTCAAATTTTTTAAAAACGTGTTGAGGATATGGCTCAGTGGTAAAGTACTGCTGAGTTCAATACTCAATACTGGAAAGAAAAAAAAAAAAAACACTTTGGCAATTTATAAGGCAATTTACACAAAACAGCCCCCAACTTTAAAATTGGTATACATTGGGGGAGCCAGGCACAGACGGGTCAAGGTTATTTGCACATGATAATAAAAGTAGTTGTCGGGGCTGGGGATGTGGCTCAAGCCGTAGCGTGCTCGCCTGGCATGCATGTGGCCCGGGTTCGATCCTCAGCACCACGTACAAACAAAGATGTTGTGTCCGCTAAAAACTAAAAAATAAATTAAAAATTAAAAAAAAAAAAAAAGTAGTTGTCACCAGGCACAGTGGTGCATGCCTCTAAACCCAGTGGCTCAGCTGAGGCAAGAGGATCACAAGTTCAAAGCCAGCCTCAGCAATTTAGCCAGGCCCTGAGCAAATTAGCAAGACCCCGTCTTAAAAGAGCTGGGGATGGTGCTCAGTGGTTAACCCCTGGGTTCAATCCCTGATACCAAAAAAAAAAAAGTAGTTGTCATTTTATTGGTGGAGAAACACAAGTCACTATATTCATTTCAGCTACTCTGTCTTTAAAAGACATTCTAATAAAACCACAATGCAATAGTCTCTGCACCCTATGAAGAATTTTATGCCATTGTGATATGCCCTTCTACATCTTCCAAGGACTTAAGCTGTGTCACACAAATGCCTAACTGGGAAGACATTAAACTGAAGAGAATATTACCCTAACATTAAAAAATACACAGATTAAGAAAGTAAGAAGGGCACCTAACGGATATACAAAAAATGACTATTCAATTCCATTCAACAAGTATTTACCACGTACAGAGTACCTGTGAGAAACCCAGGCAAACAAGTATTTCAAGATTAAGACACGAAGACATAAACCCACATGAATTCAGCTGGAGAAAGTCAAATAATTCGAAATTCAAAAAAAAGTCTACTTCTAGAAACAAACGCACCCCAGCATTACAATGGTTTTGGATGCCATTTTTAGCTTAGATCCTTGAAAGTATGGTAAATGTCCAACTTTGTTTCACTGATTTAGACAATGTAATGGAAAACCGAATAAAATTATGTGACCGTTTTTTGTAAATTAATTTGGTTTTAATTGATTACAAAAAAAATGTTTAACAATTTCTCACTGGACAAGTGTGCCAACTGATTCAATTCCTATAAACCTTATCTAGGAAATCAGGCGCCCAATCTGAAACGTAATGCCCTACTACAAAGGGACCCCTCTGGCCTGGTTTCTGCAGACTGCGTTCTTCGTGAAGCCCCAGTGCACCAACAGCCCAATTTTGGATATATTCTCTAGGCGATTTAAGGAAGTCAACAACCACTGGTCTCACGTGACCTCTAAAAGGGGCGCAGCTGAGCCCGGAATAAACCACTTTTTTTTTTTCCTGCATCAACTTCACTGCCCAGCATGAAGGAAGTGGGCACCAAGGTGTCGCAGGGCCTAAGGGCAGGGGAGGGTAGCAAACAAACATGGGGCGTTGTGTCTTCTACTTTGGGGAACCTAGCAGGTGAGGGGCACAGACGTTCACGCGCACAGCCACGGCTGAAAATCGAAGACTGCCACACCCCCCCCCGGGAGCCCCACCTTCTTCTTTCTCCACCAGAAACGGGGTCCTCTCTACCGAATGCCCACCTGCAGGGCGCTGCCCCAGTTCTGTACACCAAAACGCAACACAGTGGAGCCCGCGCGGGTGGGACTCGGCGCTGGGGGGCGGCAAAGAGAGGAGGGCCGCAGCGAGGGGCGACCCGCGCATGCGCAGATCCGAATACCCGCCCTTTTACCTACCGTTGGAACCGCGAAGCCCCGTTTCCCGGCCGCGGCCGCTTCTCCAGGACCTGCAGCGACAGCAAGAGAGCGAGAACTGAGGCCCCAAGTGACTCCGCGGCCGACAAGCCTCTTCCTGAGGTGGCCGCTGGAGGAAAGCTGAAGCAACGGCAATGGCACGGGGCCAGCCCGGTAGCGACCCCCGGATTTCCCCGGCGGTGGCAGCGGCGGAGACGCGAAAGGAGGGGCGGGAGCGGCGACGGAGGCAGCGGCTGAGGCGCAGAGCCTCCCTAACGGCGAGCGAGAGGAGAACGCAGGGCGGGGGCCTGGCCGGACGTGACGTGCGTGGGAGGGGCGGGGCGAGTGAGCCGTCCGGACGGCTAAGTGTCCCACGCTCCCTGGCCTCAGCACCGCAGTCAGCCGGCTTGTGGATTGAGTTACTTCCCCAGTCAACACTTGAACTTTTGAGTTAGGGTGTGAGAAGCTAGGCGCGTGCCTGACCGAGGGAAGGAGAAGGAAACTGGGAAGGGGACGTAGGGGGATAAAGGGAAAATCCGGAAGTCTGAGGGTAAGGCTGGTCTCTGCCGAGGGTACCTTGCCCCCCTCAGAATGCCAGAAAAGTACGAGGCGCCCTCATCTTGATGAGGAGTATGGAAGCTGTCTAGCAGGCCTGAGTGGTGACTCACGTTCCCATTCCCAGCTGTGTGGGTTAGACGGGGACTATCGGGCTGCACCTGCGCCTTGCTCGCCCTCCCCCACCCTGTTCACCCAAAGACCTGACCTAGACTCCACAGAGATCATAGAGCTCTGTTAACAAGAGGGTTCCGGAATGTGGAAGTTGCAAAGCTGCATGCTCGCAGGGAGCTTCATATACTAAACTGGAGCTTCAGAGGCAGGGCCGAAAAGAGGCAGAGAATCTCAAATTCAAATTAGCAAAGCAACTTAGTGAGACCCTGTCTCAAAAAAAAAAAAAAAAGTCTGTCCTTGCTTACGTAGCCACCCAGACCAACCCTGCAACTCCCTCAGGCTCACAAACAAATGAATAGTCAGCCAATCTCTTCTTTGCTTTAGTCTGTTAAGGGCTTTGAGATCTTCCATTGAGAAAAACGCAGTGTTCCGCCTTTGGACTCCTTGAGGGCGGGTAGATCCACACCTGCACAAAGAACTCTGGGGGTCTGTAAAAATATGAACTATCACAATTCGGTTGTCCCCTACCTGCCTGAGCTGCAAGTCGGTAAGCTGGAAAATATAAAATAAGAACCCTCACAGAACTCGGGACAAGATTTATAGAAATAAAAAGTCACCCTATGAGATGATCTGTAAATGTGTTACAGAGACCAAGGTGGCTCCCAAATTTCGTCAGAGAGACTAAAATAAATCATCTGTAACCTAATTGTCACATGCCAAATTGATGCTGTCATAACTGAAGGGTGGGGTCCACAAAGAGTCTAGAACCAGCAGAATCTGAATAAGAATGTGTTGCAAGCCTCTCACTCTGTCCAAGAGAGAGGTAACTGATTCTTATGACCAGGTCCAAATACCTTTTTCCAGGGCAATTAACAGTCTTAATTCGGGGATGGGGATATACCTCAGTGGTAGGGCACTTGACTACCATGTGAAAGGCCCTGGGTTTGATCCTCAGCAACAGGGAGATGGGAAGGAAAAAAAAAAAAAGTGTGTGTGTATAGATTATATATAACTATATATGTATATATATATATATAAAGATATGTATGTATATGCATATATAACTCGTATATATTTGTATATGCATACATATAAATGTAAATTCTGAGTTCTTTCTGTGTTCTGGCCTCTTAAGATAATGTCAGCAAATAAAATTTCTGCCTTCATGAAATTTTTATCCTAGCAAATTTAAATTTTGTATGTCCTTTATGAACATAGAAAGGCCCACACTCTGATCCCAAACTTCAACAAGTAGCCTTTTCATCACTTAGAGGCTCTCTTAAGTAAATCAAGACACCTGATGAGAAGTGATTGTCTAAGGCACATTAGTAGGACTAATTGTGCTAGCTCTACAATCTTCATCAATGAATAAATTCACAGCATGATTTCTAAATCGGCTTTTGTTCACTGGGTTGAATTATGAAGTTGTTTTATCCAAATGAATTTCTTGGAGCATGATTAAACTTGAGTGAAGTGAAATGTAAGTTTTTAAATCTGCTCCACTAAGGACTGGTTTCGTGGTAGCTCAGTCAAGATGCAATCTGTACATTTGGCTTGTATCTCTCTCTAAACATCTCAAATAGAAGTTTTACTCTGTGCTTGGAGAATGAGGGCAATATGATAGCTTCAAAATCTTAATTAGGGGCTTGGGTTTTGGCTTAGCAATAAGAGTGCTCATCTAGCACATGGGAAGCACTGGGTTCAATTCTCAGCACCACATAAAAATAAATAAATGAAATCAAGGTATTGTGTCCAACTACAACTAAAAATTTTAAAAAAATAATAATTATAAGGGCTAGGGATGTGGCTTAGTGGTAGAGTGCTTGCCTAGCATGCCCAAGGCCCTGGGTTCAATTCCCAGCACCAAAAAAAAGTAAAAATTGTGAGTGAATCATTAGAATCAAAACCCTCCTAACTCTTCTCCACTTAAGCAACATAGGTCCCTTTTTGACATAACTGTTAAAGTTCATAACATACTTTGCATGAAACCCAAGATGTAAGCTCCCAGAGGGCAAGGATTTCCTTGCATTTAAGTGCCTTAAGCCCAAAGTATGTATTCTCAGAAAACAAATGAATTGATTCAATGACCATTTTCCCCCTCCAAAATGCAAATATATGTTCTTGGAAGATAGATTTTGTAGATCTACTTGATGATACAGAACCAAAATGTTCAATTTTATAGGGCTTATGGGGTATAATTTTTTAAAAAGAACTTTATTTTTTGTCATCCCTTTAAACTCATTCCAGTGGGAATAGATCTTTCATACACCCAGTTGAAAACGCAAGTAGATTCCATGTGTTCTATGGTCTCTCCTAAAAATAGAAAGTCCTGTGGTCACCAGGCAATGCGAAGCAAGCTCCCAACAGCTCGGGAGGCTGAGGCAGGAGGATGGTGAGTTGGAAGCCAGTCTCAGCAACTTGTCAAGGCCTAAACAACTCAGTGAGACCCTGTCTCTAAAATATATTTTTTAGGGGTTGGGGATGTGGCTCAAGTGGTAGCGCGCTTGCCTGGCATGCGTGCGGCCCGGGTTCGATCCTCAGCACCACATACAAAGATGCTGTGTCCGCCAAAAACTAAAAAATAAATATTAAAAAATTCTCTCTCTCTCTCTCTCTCTCTCCCCCTTCCCATCCTAACGAACCTCTGCTGTCTTTTCTCCTCTCATCTCCTTTCCATTTCTTTCCTTCTTTCCTACTGATAGAAGGAGGCCCTTCACACTCTCTGGACAGACTAAGGACCTATACTGGATCCTTTATTGGTTTTGGAGGCATCCTCCTCTAACCCTATCCTCTCCAATTTCTTCCTTTTCTTATATATGTAGACTTCCATATCAGGGGCCACTTTCTGCCATTTTGTTCCCACATGCAACACCAGCCTTCTCATTCTTTGGAGATCCCTTCTGGTCTCTCACAGAGGTGTTCTTTCTGAGACCCTCACCTTTTGACTTATCTGAACACTAGAGGTCCTCCACCATTGTAATTGCAGGAGGGGACATCCTCTCATTCTCTGGTGAAACTGTCTGAAGGAAAGATCAAGGGACACTTTGATCTTGACTGCCACCCCAGTCAAACCTCTCCAACATGGGGGTACTCCCCCTTAGATAGTCTCATTAAAAATTTCAAAATCCTCCACCTCCAATCTGACCTCAAAAGCAAATGCCTTATCAGGCTAAGTACCCAGATCTGACTGCAATCTAAATTAGACAACCTAATCAATAGCCTGAATTTGGAATTTAGGACCTTTGACCCCCAAAATCCTCAAGACAGACAATTTCCTCCAATGAAATGGCAAATGGCCTGAAATTCCTTATCTTCAAGTCTTCTTTTACCTTCACTCAAGGCCATGATTATACCACCCTTGCTCTGTTCTACAATTAATTCTTGCTGACTCCACGCTCCATAAGTTCCCTAGATCAGGTCCTGACCCCCAGCCCTCTTCTTCATTTACCGCTCCTGAAATAGAGGATGAGCCCCCACCCAAAGTAAGTAAAGCTGGAGGCTACAAAGGAAAGTTTCATAGACAGGAATGCCTGATAACTATCAAAAGAGACTGTCAGAGTCACAAGCTCTTTTCTGAGTCAATTTGAGACCTACAACTCTTTCTAACCTCCTACATAGGCAGGCTTGATCTGTTTCTGCTTTTGCTAGTATGATTATCTAGGCCCAACAAGTATCCCTTATATTGGTCTAAAAGATGTAATGTGGCACATGAAAGTCTTAACTAACTTTAACAAGAAAACCCTAACTGACACAGATTAAGGGATCTCTTGGTTATTACAGTTAAAAATGAGTAAATTAGATTTAACATCAACATCAATGGGATTAATCATAAATATGTTTATTAGAGAAGATCTGACTAATTTACAAAGTTAAAGTACTGAAACATCAAGTGCTAAATATAAAATCAAGTACTTTTGACTTCTTAAATTCAAATATACTTAAACATTAAATGTATTTTTAAAAATTGGTAAATGAAAAAATTGTTTAAGATTGCTTCGTTTCTGGGTCTTCACTAAAGCAAGGTCATTAAGAGTTAAAGTTCCAGTGGGGCACACCTATGATCCCTGGGACTTGGGAGGCTGAGACAGGAAGATTGGGAGTTCAGAGCCAGCCTCAGCAATGGCGAGGCTCTAAGCAACACAGCGAAACACTGTCTCTAAATAAAATACAAAAAAAAAAAAAAATAGGGCTGGGGATGTGGGCTCATCGGCCGAGTGCCCCTAATTTCAATCCCTGGTACCACAAAAAAAAAAAAAAAAAAAGAGTTAAAAGTTTTAACAGGTATAATTCCATATGCAAAGAGTACAAAAAGTTTCACCTGTGTTTCAAAGTACTGTAAATAGCATAAGGTATTTCATCTTCTTAAGAGGAGTAATTAGAAAAAGTCAGAAATTTCACAAGGATTGTTTCAGAATGTGAACTTTAAAAGGGATCAACAGCTAGAAAGGAGATATAAGAAGGTTCTAGATATGGAACTATGTTTTAATATAAAAGAAGAAGGAAAAGTTATGGAATGTGTAAGCAAGTTGCAGAAGGTTTTATGGAGAGTAAATTTCAAAAAGTTTGAACTAAAGTGTAACCAAATTAGTTAT